ACCCCGAACATTCTGTGATTCTGTGAAAGCATATACATTTGAAAGAATATACATCCACAAACCAGAACATCCTGACTTGAGGACAGGATGTGAGCAGTGCTCGGAGGCTTGAACTGAGGTCCTGGTTGTGATTTTTGCCATACTAAGCAAAAACACTTCACTGTCTGATGACTCAGTTTCTACATCTACATAGCAAGGTTATTAACACTTCATCGTTATTTATTCTCTATATTTTGAGGGTGTAAATTCACTCTCACCATGTAAAGGCGAATATACTGCAGTGTCCTCTTACCAGTGGCTTCTGGATACTACTTCAGTCAGCTCTTAATGTCTGTGTGAATTTATCTGGGTTGTGGAATAAATCTGCCACAAACACACAGATGATGGATCTGGAGACCTGTTCTGCTCCAGATCCTTGCTTGAGAAAAATCAGCTGTTTTGGCTCCTAGAATGGAAAAGAGCAAGGTGCAAAGAAGTGGCACTGAGCCCACCTAGGGCAGCAAAGCCAGAACTAATACATGTTACTGGCCCAAAGCTGCCTACTATAAGAACACCCTTAACCTCCTGTTCCTTCCATTGTCTATATTTCAGCTCCTAACTATCCTGGATGATGGTATTATATATCCTCTGTATGAATTAAATAATTTCTACTATTAGACAAAAGCACAAATTATTATTAATAAAAATCATGAGATATCAGACAGAGCTCAGGATCCATAAAAGATTACAGTGTTTCCTCCTCACTTTTGTTCCATGAAATTCTGCTAATTCAGATTGACGCTTATTGTCACCAACCTCAGAAGTAAACTTCTTGGGTGTCTACTCATGCTGTTTTCAGATTGATTCTCAGCTCTACATCAGTCACTGAGACTGGCACAATAGCTGATAAATCAACTGACAAACGCCCATGCATTTTGATATCATGCAATATAGCTCCCTGCTCTGGGCCTCCCAGGGAGGGGTCTGACTTATGATCAGTAGAGCCACTTCGTGCCACTACTCCTTGCTTAACGATTCTCTTTCAAGGATCCAGAAGGAAAGAGACCAGTCTCCCTGGCTGCTCATCCATCAGGGATGATGCTCACAGTGGGCTTGAAGTCTGTGTAAAGCACCGTGTCAGCATCTCATTTGGGAACAGCTGCCACTCACAGCTCATGAAATCCTTCTGTCTAGCTGTCTTGCAGTAGACACTTAACTGCCGGCTGTGTGAGCCACAACAGAGCACGTCACTGCTTCTCGTACATGAGAGGCTCAGAAACACAAAGGGATCCAGGAGCAGAAAGGAAGAAAAGAAAGGAGGAAGAGGGAGGCACTGGCTAAGAAAATAAGTGATGGGAGCGTGGGTGAGAAGGGGGAAAAGGGGGGCACGTGTAAATAAGGGTGAAAGGGGCAGAGATGCAAAGACGTCCTTTCCTCCTGAAATGGCTGCCAGCAGCTCTTCCCTTCTTATGGAGAGGGGACAGAGGAGCTGGGGTCAGTAGTTAGACACTAGCTAGATGTAATGGGAAGAAATCTGCCCTTATCCAGGAATCAAGCCTTATTTCATTCACCCGCTGGAGAACAGAGGTGTGAGATGACCTGTGCTCCCATGGTTGACATGTCAACCCGAGCAACGTCTTTCTGAAGAGAGCTGTACCCCTGTGAAGCACATGAAAACTTGGACATCACCTTGAGGCGGTTGCCTGCAGCCCTTTGGAAAAATGGTGCAGAGAAGGAGAGGCTGTGGGTGAGCTGGTCTGTTTTACCTGCGGCAGGGCTTGAACAACTGTATCCAGCAGCGCTCTCATTCCTGTGGCCATCTTCAGTAGCTTCAAGACTGCCACAACAAGCAGAAGAGTAGTGTCACTCAGATTGAGCTCAGAAGGTCCATCCTTTGTGACTTACTAATGACAGTAGCACAAGACAGATGTTCTGTCTCCATTTGCCCTAGAAAAAATGGATTGTTCCTCTTGCTCCCCTTTTCTCTTTTCCCACTTCTTTTGACTGTACAACTCCAGTGGTTCCTTCTCCTCCAGTCCATTTCCTTCTTCCTAAATACTCTGTTTCTGTCACCCATGTCTATTGGGCTTTTTCTGCTTCACCCAAACAGTGTGGCCAAGATCTCTCTTTCTCACAGCAGTGTGTATCACAATTCCTCCTCTGCTCTGATTTTTCATTCCATCACTTCCTCTTCCTCCAGCCACCATTTGTTAAGGCAACTTAGCACACCTTGGTTGCTACCAGGAAGATTGAGTCCCCTCCCTGTGCAAACCTCAGCCTGCTTCGTGGTCCCTTCTCCAAACACCACTGCCATACTTGCCCCATAAAAAAAATAACAGGGAAAGTTCAGCTTTCACATGATCTGCTCACCCTCCTGGTCCTTCCCCTCCTGTTAAAGCCACTGTATCTAAATGCCTGGCTAAAGGAAGCCAGAAAGCCTTAACCTCTAGGCTGTCCCTTGTCACATCCCCTGCCACCCTCACAGGGCTAAGGACAGGGCAAGCCCATGACTCTACAGCCACTGCTCAATGAGTCATGATACCTAGTCCCACTCCATCACAACCTACACCCCTGCCTCCAGCCAGCATCTCTCTCACCCCGAGCGATACGCAGCACCCTCATGATCCGGATGATAGTGGGATTAATTGGGAGAGCAGCATTGATTTCAATCTCTTCCAACGTGATACCCATGACAGAGAGCAGCACAATGGCCAGATCTAGCTGGTTCCACCTTAAGAAGAAAAATTGAAAAGAATAAAGGAAGATGGAGTTTTTCTGTTTCCCTGAAAAAGAAAGTCAATTGTCTCCAACCTAAATATTTCTTTATGTATGAGTTCAAGGCCCCACTCTGAGTCAGCCTATATGGGCTTTTGCAGACAAACAGAGATTCACACTGCACACACCCTGAGCAGCCAGAGGCAAGCCAGCCTGATCTGAAAGCATGGAGCAGTGTTACTATGGTGTTATGCTTTGACTAATGGACTCAGCTTTTTATGGCCTTACTACCTCAAATCAGTTCTGTTATATACGTTCTGCTTCAGCAGGCTCCCAGTTTGCCTCAAGGGCAGCAAAAATATGTCTCTCTCTAACCTCACCTCCTTTGCTTTCCAGCCTAACCAACAGAAGCCAACCAAGAGGCAATATTTGGACAACCCTTAATATTGGCTTGGCATTGCAGCTCATGTGGGCTGAGGTTAGGTCTATGCTGTGCAGAACTGTGAAGCAGTCAGGGCACTCTGCTGCCAGCTCACACTCCAGATAGGGATATGTCCTGAGAACCTCCACCCCAAACCCCATTGTCCCACAGATACAGTTGACAAACTTCTGCTCACCTGTCTTTAAAGAATCGCCGCAGACCAAATGCCACCAGCTTGAGGACTGCCTCCAACACAAAGACGGTGGTGAACAGGTAGTTGCAGTACTTGAGGGCGGTCTCCAGGGACTGCCAGCAGAAAGAGAGGGTAAAGAACTGAGGCAAAAGAAATATCAAGCACATAACTTGTGGGTGGACTCTCCTGAGTGCCAGGAATTCCTTGGGAGCTGGGGATGGTACTCCACGCTTGAACGTGGAGGCTGCCTACTAAGGGCAAAAAACAGCTGGTCCCTCTGCCCCATGTTGTTCTCAGGATCAATTATTTCTCATCTCCTGTACTGCTCAACATAATGGGGGCAGGGGGGAGGCTATTACAAAGAGAATCCATCAAGTGCTATTGGCTTCTTCTTCTGCCAGTAGCCCATGCCACCTGGATGCCACCATGTTAATGACACTGGCATAGCTATCAACCAGAACTGAGGCATGACAGTTACTCTAGTTGTGGGTATGTCATCTCTGATGGGAGGAAAGTCTCCCTGTGCCTTGGTGTGGGGCAGGCATATGTCATATCTCCTAGCTGCTGGGTGTCTGGTTCTTTCATGTGCTACTGCTCCTTCATCACCAAGGACCAGTGGGCAGCATTTGGTGGCATTTTGTACTGGAAAGGTTCAAAGCACTTTGACAAGATTCTTTAGCAGAGCCTGAAGCAGAGCCTGCAAGCTAGCATGACTGGCCCTGCATTCCAGGGAAAGGAGCTGAGGAGTAAGGAAGAGGAGGGACTTGTTCAGGAACAAAGGCCTGACATAAGGATGACAACAGATAAAGGTTGAGAGTTCCTGCAGAGTAAAATTGGGCACTATCAAGGGCAAGATCAAAGGTGGGCAGTTAGGCAAGATAGGCAAGAAGCAGAGGAGCCTGGCAGTGGATTTGACTGAGGCCAGACAGACTCAGTTCCTGACAAAAGTCTGAGCTACTGTTGGACAGCATCTGCTCAGGCGCTAGAGCTCTCACCTAAACCAAGGGTCTCCTGAAGAGAAAACTGAAACGCCAGCTGACAGATGTCGTGATGGATGCTTTGTCTACGTATGGAGGCAGAAAGCTCCTCTGATATGTGCAACATACATTTTTTTTTTCCACCAAAGGCACCTAGAGCTTTGCCAGGAACACTGAGAGGTACATGGTCTTCACCAATCAAAGCATAAAACTCAATTGGCCTTTAAGGCCTTTTATTGGGAGTCACCCCCTGCAGCCAAGAGAGACTCCTCTCAGCACTTTGGCCTTGCAGCTTCTCTTACAGAAAAACAGTGGCTTGGTGAAGACATCCTGTCCCATGACACACAACCAGACACTCTAGTCCTCTCAGCTCAGTCCATATGGCAGATGAATTGGACTGACATTTGGAAACCTGTTGCAAAGCCTGAAGCTCCTACGACACTGCTGCTTCCACCACTCCTTCTATTAGGATCCAGGGCAACATGCAAAGCAGAATAGGCAGCTCAATTTGGGTGATCCATATACCCACTTAATATAAATCACAGAGACTTAATTGCACCATGATTTCTAGGGGCCCGACACTTGCTTAGATGCCTTCTCTTTATTGATTTTAACAGGTAACGAGTGTCTGAGTAGGGGCTACCTTTCTGGATAGTGTGAAACTCTTCACATAACTTTGCCTACTACATTAACTCTTGCAACACTTTCAATAGCAACTTTTAGAGACACTTAAGTGTCCTACCTATGCCAGTGGGCAGCGATCATCAGAGAGCTGTAGCAAAATAACATAAAGACTAGAGGCAGGGGTTATCTCCACGATCTCACTCACCACAGGTTGGTTGTAGTGCTCCAAGGACATAGTGACCACGTTGAGGCAGATGATAAAAGTGATGAAGATGTCCAGATAGTGGCTGGTGCAGACCGAATGAATAAGGAGGCGTATGGGGCAGTAGGTGGCATAGTACGGCAAACGCTGCGCCTCTTCAGTGGAAAGAGGGAGATGGGCAGAGTTAGGAAGAAATTGGAAGAAAGAGAGAAATGGGTAAGAAACACTGAGGAGGGAGCAGGCATAAGAGTGGTGATAGGTGTTGAAAGAAACGGGAATGAAGGTGGGAGAGAGAAAGAACAGAAAAGGATAAGTAAAAGATAGAGGACATAGGAAGGAAAAAAAAAGCAAAAAAAAAGAACAAAGTAGAAGTGGGAGAGAAAATAAGTAGAAAAAGGACAAGGAAAGAAATGCTAGAAAGAAAATCTGTTAGTCTATGTTTGTGGGAATGGTGCTAAGTCAGCATTTCATGCCTCAACAAATTAAGATCACAAATTATAAAAGGGAGCAGCTGGTTCCAGGAGAGGCCTCAGGGCATCACAGAAGAGAGGTGGGGGAAACTGGAGCAGAGGAAGGGACAACATGTCCACAGGTCATATATGGAAGAAAACTTTCAGTCTGGGGTAGTAGGGATGACTTCCAGGGGCAAGTATGCTTTTGGAGGTTTTGTCTAATGATAATATAGAATAGGACAGAAACACCACGAGGAGGGCTTGCTTCACCATAGGGAGTCTGGTACCCCAAGGAGTGACACTGCAACATTGATGGAAAAAGCCAGGAACAAAGCACAGGGGTCTTCCTCTTTACCTTCCCTCCCCCCACCCACTTGTTTAAATTTTGGTTTAAACACAAAGGATGGTCTGTCCAGGTCTTCCCCCAAACACCAGTTGGATTGCAGGGAGCCCTTGTGGGACTATCTCAAACCCAGGAGATGCACTTATGCATGCGTGCCCTGTGTTGACAGTGCACGCCAGCATGAGCACCAGCGTATTTTTGGTACATCTTATCTTCCAAGGGACAGGATGCTGAAATCACAGTAGCTTCCCTGGAGTCTCAGCAGACCTTGTCAGCCACCCCTCTTCCCCAGACCGCCTCGGTGAGGTGCACAGCAGCATGGCAGTGGCACAGGAAGGAAGGCTGAGAGCATGGCCACAAGCAATGCATTTTGGAGACCGGTCCATTGGGAAAGAAATAGAAGAGGAGAAGGTTTTTCTCAAAAAACCTTGGCCTACGAACCGACCAAACACTTAGGCTGTGCCTTACTCCTTCGCTTCTTCTCCAGGCGGCGCAAGCGCTTCTCCTCCCGTCGTCGCGCCTCCTCAGCCTCCTGGTGCTGACGGCACTTGTGGAAGTTCTCCACCACCACCCCCACGAACATGTTGAGCACAAAGAAGCTGACGATGAGGAGGAAAGAGATGAAGTAGAGGAGCATCCAGGGGTTGTTGTTGGTCACTGGCTGGAGGAGAGGGATAATGGAGGTGGTCAATTGGTTAGATGCATGTTGGTATGGAAATCAGCTGCTAGGGAGGGGTTATGGAAATCAGGGGAGCTGGCTGGGAAGAGCTAGGGTTATATGCAAGGCAGTTTGTGGTTTTGGCATCAGCTGGTGACTGACGGAGCAGGTGAGAGTCAAGGGCAAGGGCCCACCTGCACAGAGTCACCCACAATTTAGGCACAAACCCAGCCACAGGTCCAGTACAACACCAGTATGTGGTAAAATGGGTGGGCCAGGCAGCAGGAACACCTTTGGCATGTCATGGCAGGTGCCTGCACTGGACACTATCAAGTCATTGCCTTAGCAGTAGAGGAATAAGGATGTAGTGGGCAGCAGCCCAACAATCTCAGCTTTACAAGGTATTAAAATAACCATCTGTGGGCCAGGAGGGAGAAAGCATGCCCAAAAAGGCACATGGCATTCTTGCTCCATCATTATAAATAGCTAAAGTCCTGCTGTGAGGTTCAAACTGAGTAGAGTAAAAATTACTACAGACACCCACTGTGCAGCCACAGCTGCACCTTCCTGCATAGACCAGGCATGATCCCGACTCCTTGCAATTAGGTGAGCAAAGGATTCAGAAGGGCCCTGGAGAGGGCTCTTGGTTTGAGGGAGGTGTCTGAAGCATGCTTGTGTCTTACTAGCTGGACGAAAGTAAAAAAAGGTCCTTTCACAAGGAATTCTCTGTACCTGCTGGTCAACAGCCACAGCATCTAGTCCATTATACATAATATTGACCCAGCCATCCTTGGAAGCCAGAACAAAGAGGGACATCAGAGCCTGCAACATACAAAGCAAAGCAGATGTGGAGCAGGTGCATCTGGCAGGCTGGGAAAAATAATCATGGGTTTATTCTCTAACACACACATTGAAATACTCTTCCTGCCTGTGTCTCTGCACACATCAAAACCTGCTCCTTCCCTCGTGGAGGAGGAGAGGGGGAGCCAGGAAGCTGGTGCAGCCAGACCTACCAGAGAAGAGAGGTTGTGAAGAACATCTGCTTTGCAGCAGGAGGAAAAAGAAACTCAAGCTCTCTGCTGCCACCACTTTTCTTTCCCCTGCAACCTGTAAACATCATCCTGATACCAACCCACTAGAGACACAGCTTCTGCATGGGTTCCTGTATCCAATAACTGCCTCTCCTTGCATAGGGATCAGGCTTTCCAGGTACTGCGTCTATGCCTCATGGAGGGATACGTGTAGGAGGAGACAAACCCTGTGCTAGGTTCTCACCAGAGACAGAGGCTGTGGGCACACTCACCTGTCCCAGGTTGTCGAAGTTATACTTGTGATGCACCCACTTGTAGTTGGCAGCCACGCAGTCGGACCGGTTGGTGATGTTCCTGATGTCGACTCCCAAGCAGTGGTAGAACTTGCCCTTGAAGAGCTGCAGGAGGGGAGTGATCCCATCAGCCCCTTTCCCCATGCTCCCTGGGATGTGCAGAACCTCCTGAGGTGGTAGTTAAGTTACAAGCCAGGTGGAGCATGACAGGTAAGGAAGACTACCAATGTGACACACAGCACAGGCTGAAACACTGCTAAGGAGCCACAGCCACCCTTGTAAACCCACATTTGGCTCTTCAGCTTCCTCCACTGCCCCAAGTCAGCAGTGAATGAGGCTTTGAGCAACCTGGTATAGTGGGAAGTGTCCCTGCCCATGGCGGTGGGGTTGGAACGAGATGATCTTTAAGGTCCCTTCCAACTCAAACCTTTCTATGATTCCATGATCTTCAGGGCAGCCTTTCTGGGTGCAATTAGAGCCACTAGCCCAAAAGCAACAAAAATCTTCAACTCAGTCACCAAGAGAATCTCCTCTCCCTGCCTCCCAGTCATGGAGAGAGCTGGTAGGAAAAGATGATCTCATTCGAGAGTAAAGAACTAGAAAAAACATCCCCTGCTTCTCAGATACTTCTTTTTCACAAAGCTCTACTGCACTGCTGGGCATTTCTGCCCAGGGCTCCTTTCCCCATATGGAAGGTACTGGATTGTGCATTTGTACAAATGCATCAGAGTAGACTAAGTATAGCACATTCCCTGAGATGGAAGTAACGCCCACGCCCTTGCTCCTCTGCAGTGCAACAGCCGAAAATAAAGAGGATTAAATAAAAAAATAAAAGAAGGTCGTGGGTGGATTTAGGGCTCAGAGTGAGGGGGAGAAATAGAACTGACTGAAGGCAGGGTTTGTGCAAGCAGGCACTAAAGGGGAACACAACATGGATATGTCCAGTGAGTCCTGTGCTGTGTCAGCCCTGGGCTCTCCCTATAATGCTGACCCAAATCCTGATATAACTCCTGCCAGATATGACCATTAACTCCTGTCTTGCACATCCAGCAACATCTGCACTCGCTGAGCACCTGGTTTGTCCTTGTCAAAGGCTGTGGGGACATTATGGTGGGAGACAGCTCATGGAGCAGAGCAGCTGCAGAAAATGTCCTGGCTTGCCTGTCCCTCCTGCTCTGCTTGGTTCCCTATGCCTGTTGTAGCCTCTGGGGGTACAGCTCCCCATGGCAGGATTTGGGGCACGGGGCCTGTTTGATGGGCAGTAACAACCTACCTGCACACCCAAGATGCCAAAGATGATGAAGAAAGCACAGCAGATGAGGACGATATTTCCTATGGGCTTGAGGGAAGAAATTAGTGTCTCCACCACCAGCTTCAGGCCAGGGGCTCGGCTGATGACTCTGG